AACTTTGCTTTCATAACTATTTTAATCATTAAGCATTATTCATATTATTTTAAATCACTCTACATTATGTGTATGTATCTCTTTGTAACTATATCTTAAGCACGGGTCATTCTATAATACAGTAAAGAGAGAGATACTTTACATTTACATAACACAAAGAAGATTCAGGGTCATTTTCTGATGTTTCCCTCAACAATTATTTGAAATACGCAAAGAAGATATAACTTTTCATTTCACAGACGAGAAAACTGAGACTCTAAAAGGTTAAGAGAATTGCCCAGTCATGTAAGTAACTAAGGCAGAGTTCGATTGCAGGGTGGATTTCTAACTTCCATTTCCTTTCTACAGTGGCCTGCTACCATATACATTTATGATCCCTGGATCTCTTCCTTACCTAAACCCCAGGCCCAAATATGTAATGCTTAATTAAGGTGAAAAATTGGGATGTTAAGCACTGACTGCCTAGGGTGGCAATCATATACACCTTCTCCCCACATAAGAAAATGTTTCTCAACATTGACAATTCTTTCCCCACCCTGGGATTTTGTATTACTCAGGAAGCCTCTTATCTCACTGCCAATAGAGCCTCATCTATGATTTCTGTCAATGATGAGACTATGCAACATTACATGGGAAATTGGACTCAAAGAAACAATACTGCCAATAAGATCATCAGATTCTTTGTTGGGGTGGAGCTCTCTTTTTATTTAATGGGATTTTTTTACTTCAAATCATATTGACAGCATATGTAGTCTGCCATTTTGGAAGCACTTTAAAGTTGGGACTATATTGAGTTATCATTTACAAGCAAAAAGAGGGAAAAAAAAATTCTGTTGCTCCCCTGGGAATAAGCAGGTTCTCAGGTGATGAAATTTTCCAAGCCTCACCTCAATATTGGGCTTACAGGGATAAAGTGGGTTATACTCTAACTATACACCAAAGCCTAATGTTACCATACTAGAAAGAAAATTGAGACGTTTCAAAGTTGTTAAGCCAAGACCTTATCGAAAGTAGGATTTGTGCTCAATGTTATAAAATGCACTAACGATTTTTTTTTTTTGCTCTTAAGTTGTTAGGGAGGGAAGTAAAGGTTCTATTCCTATTCCTCACAAACTCATGCAATACCAGGTTTGTAGGAAAAAATATATATATATTGCAAGCTTACTATTCCTGAGACACTGTGCTAAATGAAAAGCATTGACCATATTATCATTTTATCATAGAGCAAACATATGAGGTATGTACTATTATCCCCTTCTTCCATGTAAACAGGTTGATGTGAAACCATTTTAATTTTCAGATTAGGAAAGAATGTATGAAATACTCCTTTCCTATAGGTATTGCTGATCATAGGGCACTGGGGACAAACAGGTTAACAGTCTCATCTGTTTGAATGACAGAGTCATGTACAACTCAAACACTATCTTAATTCCAGCCCTAGACCGTAATCACACTAAACTTCCACTTCCAAACTCTCTAAGACTTACAACATTTAAATGCAACCTACTCTTTAAATTGGAGACATCAAAATAAAAAATACTTAATAAGAACATTTGAAAGGAATCTTGCACCAAAACATAAGTGATATACTAAATTTTGACTCAGAACCGGGTGTGAACCCTCCAAGCTGAACCTCTGTGGGCTTTGGTTGCTTCATTTATAAAATCACCCTACAAATTCTGAGACTATATGAGTTAGAATATGTTCAATATTATGTAATGCATGTGAAAGTACCATATAATTCTAATTACTATTGCTGTTATTATTATGAATAAACTGACAAGGATGTAAAGTTACTTATAAGGAAGTCAGATGTGCTGTGTAAATTAAATCAGACAGCTGTCTTTGGACCAGGAAATTCTCTCCTGGTGCTGCTATGTATCATTCTCGCTGATCTGAGCTGCTTTTGTAAGAAAGGGGTGGTGCTCCTGCTAGCACAGGGAAATATCATCCTGGTTTTCTCTCTCTCTCTCTCTCTCTCCCCCATCTCCACAGATCTTGGCTGCCTTACATTTTCAATACAATGAGATCTGAATCTAACGTGGAGCCCCAAGAACTTCCAGATCATGGCATTCCCTCTTCAGACTAGCTGTGTTGTGTTTAAATAGCCAAATTCTCTCAAATGGAAGGCACACATGCTACCTCCCCAGCAGCCAGCCAAGCCTGACTAAGCTAGCTAGCAGACCCCCAGCTTCATCACAACCAAATGATTAATGTAGAGCTAGCAAACAAATAAGCCCTGGTGTCTGTATTTTAAGCAATATTGCCACACAGACCAGAGAGAAAACTCCCTTGGGTATAATTTAAATTTAGGGGGTGAGGTGGGATGAGAGTGGGAAGCTTTGGTTAACAAAACACTAAGTTACAAAGTACCAGAGTGTTCCTGAAAGCCAATTGAAATTCAGTTAATATACCTTCTACAGACCGAATTTACTTCCAAAATTTTTCTTCTGCAGAATGTTTACACTGCAGACTTTTGCTGACCTTTTCTTGTCTGGTATTTCTCAGTAATGAAACCAACTCTACAAATGCATCAATCACTGACGCCTGGTAACTCAGTAAGAATTAGTACCCATTTACTAGGTAGAACAATTCATCCCAAATAGCAGACAGATTTTTTATTCTTTTAATTTAAGGTTGAGTAGGTTCTATGAATACATGCTTATATTCCTTTTGGTAAAGCTAAGTCATGATTAAATTAAAACTGCAAATCATGGAAACAGAAATGATAGTTCCACTAAACTCTGCCTGAGTCACAATTATTTAACTGTAGTGCATTGCATTCCTATGCCCCTTAAGGCTGCCATATGGGAAAACAAAGTCCCCCAAACTGTGGCAATTGTGAGTCATAAATATATTACTAATCGGAATTGTGACATACATGGGATATCTCTGAATGAACAGTTCTGCTTATAGAGAGAGGAGGCCACCTTGGCCCTGGAGGAAGAATGACCTTTTAAAGTTTATGGACGTGTAAATATAGAGTACATAATGTTGCATCTGTGCCTAAATGTCTTCATAAAGTAAAATTAATGCTGGAACGCTAACCTAGTTTTCCATGTTTAGTTAATAGCTAGCAATTTTGCTTACACTTTTATCTCCTCATTACATAGCAATGGTGATTATTTAGTAAATACATGTGAAAGGCCATAGTACCTCTCCTGGGTCGGAAAAAAAAAAAACCTTCCTAATGCTTCTATTTATATAATTTAGTTGCTAATACACCAAACCAAGTATAGCTGTGACAAGCATCCCACTAATGCCTCTTTTGGAGACTAAGACCAGAATGCATTCTCAGCTGGTTTCCCTTTGTGCCGGTCTGACCAAATGCAGAATAGGGGTTGGGGACAAAGGATGGGGAGGTCCAGAGCCTTAATGAATGTTAACCTTTTGTAGATCTTAAAGGGACCCTGGTTGTCTGATTTGAAAATTATTTATGATCCTGGAAAGAGACAGGGAAAGGCTATTTTATAACTGGTGAAATAATGTGGAACAAAGAGAGAGTTTATAAGAAACAAATAGAAGAGAAAGATGTAAAATGTGGCCATATAAGACACCACCCAGTCTATCCCTGGACATATGACTGATATAAACCATTACAAGTCACCTGCAAATTTTTTCTCTTAGATGTAGCATGGGGAAAAGAGTAGAAGATGTGGGGTAGCCCCAGGGCACTTCTGATTGTCTTCTTGGTACACGACATATCTCTAAAGTATTATAGAGGTAAATTTCTAAGTAAGGTGGTCAAGCCCCAAACAGAATGATTTCAAATAAAAGATCTCCCCTATTCCTGCCCTGAATAATAGTATTTGGAACTGGGTCCAAGATAAGGGCAGAGAAGGGATTTTAATATCCAGAATCACGTCAGGCTTAAAGGGTGGGGATTGGCTGGGCTGAAGGAAGATGCAGGAAACATCTCCCTCCACCCCAACACAGCTCAGATATGCCTGCTCACAGGGGCAAGGTTTCTGCTCTCCTCTTCTGTTGACTTCATGGGAAGTTGGCTGAGTCCCCAATTCTGCAGAGGGAATGCAGGCAGAAGGGAGTAGTGCAAATGGGCCTTACTCTGGGTGCTTAAATGACAAGTGTGAAGGGAAATGGTAGGGGACATTGTCAATGAGAGGAGGCACTGAACTGAACTGGAGAATACTGCTGATCCTGGGGCTTTTTCTCACATCTTCACTCCACACCTGCACTTACGAAGACATTGCTTGGAAATCAGAATCTTTTCCAACACAGAAACACAGCACTGGCAGGCACAAGCTCTACTTCCTTCAGCTCAATGCCCTGGCTTCCCACTGGCTCCTAACACCACAGACTGGCACAAGTAACCTGAGGTCAGTAAGTCTGAGCCAGTACATTCTTGCCACTGGGAATTAGGAAAGACTGGGATCTAAAGTGGTATTTATAATATTGTGTTGTTTCAGATGAGTTTTGCTTTTATTTGAGGTGGTCCTGATGTGTTTGGGGGAAGGCATGGAGGACCTCTACATCTCTCTAGTCCCTGCTGGTACTCTCCAGGCCCCGCATCCTCCTGCAGTCTCCTGAAAGTGCCTAGATACCAGGGCAGGGCTCTGCATCCATTTTTTTCGGACAGGAACCACCGAGTTTGGGAACTCTGAAAGCCAGGGGATGGTGGTGGGGGTTGCCAAGGATCAGATTTCCATGTCAGAGTTCTCAACCAGGAAAGCAGTTGAAAATCAGCACCCATCTGCCTCTTCTTTCTCAGGGGGCCCCCACCCCTACTATATTCTAGGACTCCATTCAGATACTACCCACAAGACACACACACACACACACACACACACACACACGCTTGGGCTTAGAATGTTTTCAATTCTGAAAACAGCAAACCTGCAAAGCTGAAAGGGTTTCTGCCACCACCTCTCTCCCGTCCCACCCCGAGAGGCTACTTAAATATCTACACACAATAAAACCTCATACATTCCGAAGATCACAACATAACCCGATCCCGCCTGTGCCTCCAGCGCGTCCCATACCTGATATGCAGACGATGAAATTGGCTTGAAGAAGAAAAAGCACCTCCCAGACTATTTCCATCCTCTGATTCTCATTCCAAGTGCATCACTCGACGGGAAAACAGGGGGGAAGGGGGGCCCCCACACGGCACACACACATGCACACGCGCACACACTTCCCAGCGAGCGCACACTCGCACTCCCACCAGACAGCCAGCCAGGGACAGTCACCCCCAAGATCAATATCGCAGTTTGAATTGTTCCAGCAAATCTCCCCTCGGGCTCGACGGATGTGCGCCCCAGATGTGCTGACACATATCCGATGCCTCGCTGCCCGGGAAGTGTCCCCGCTCGCCGGTCTTTGCTCCTCGCACAAGGGGCAGAAACAGCACTAGCAGCGGCGGCGACAGCCACCTGAAGCCACCAGTGCAGCGCTCTTCCTGCAAAAATGAGACCCCGATCCGCCTTGCGCCCCAAGAAGACATAGAAGATAGCCCCCCGCCGGGCCGTGCCGCGCAGTTCCGTCCCGCTGGCAGCTCGCAGCTTGCTGGCTAAGCCCAGGCAGTCCGCGACGAGTTGCCCTCGAAGTCCGCCCTCCTCATCGGGGCATAGTCAGACGGTGGCTGTTCCGCTCCAGGGCCGTTTACCTCCTGCTTCCGCCGGGAGGAGGAGCAGACAGAATCGAGAGAGACAGAAAGAGGCAGGGATTACTGTCCGAAACTGCCGGCTGCCAGCTGCCTCCGCCGACCCTCCCTGCTACACAAGTCCGCGCGCAGCCTGCCGCCTCGGAGCCCGGCTCTGGCGGCGCGTCCAAGGCGCAGAGCCGGAACCGTGGGGAGCCGGGTACCCAGGAGCATCGGGAGCCCGCGGGCTCCCTACCTTGCGCGCGCGCTTTCTGTTCCTTTGCTATTTTCCTGGGTTCCCCAGAACAGCCAGTTGCCTCGCTTCCATCGTCCGCAACTAGCACTGCCACTGCCTCCGCCGCCGCCGCCGCGATTTTCCGCAATGCAACTGCAGGGGTCGTTATTGCCTCGCCTATGGATCCCGACGCTTCCCGATTCTGAGGGGAGGTGGAGGGCAGGTGGGGGAGGGGTGGAGGAGGAGGGAGGTGGGCTACGCCAGGTGAGCGTCCTCGCTGCCGCCCGGAGCCTCAGTGTCAAACCAGCCGCCCCGTGCCCGGGGGCGGAGGCAGCAGGATGCGGTTGGGAGGTGACGCTTAACGCGGCCATAATGAGAAGCAGAGGGCTGAGCATCGGAGCTTCGGGCCACCACAGCAGCCGCCTGGGCCCCAGTGCTGGGCTCCAGCTCCTCACTCCGCCCCGCCCCGGCTGCCTCTATCACCCTCTAGGATTTGGGGAGTTTTCTTCTCCATAAAAAGAACTTCGCGCCAGCTGGTTAGGCGCGGGAGACCTGGGCAGGACTCATCTTGGGAGTGCTGAGCTGCGCTCTCCCTCTGCTGCGGAATATTGGTTGGTTGTTTTTTTTTTTTCTTCATAATTCATTCCCTTCCCTCTCCGTCGTTCCTCTCCTGCCCCCTCCTTCTCCCTTTCCGCTCCAGTGCCTGAACACTACTTACCCCAGAGTTCTCTCTGCAGGTTCCTAGACCAGGTCCTGCAAGTCCCTCACCTCTCTCCTCCCGAAACCGGCTAAAACCGTCTTTCCAAGTCCGGGTGTGAGCAGGGGCCGCTGCCAACTACGCCTCTCCAGGACTACTGGAAACCCCGGCTTTAGGGGAATAAGCTTCCCTTCTTTTCGTTTCGTTTATTCCGTTTTTCTTTCGGGAAGCTTAAGTGCTTTGGAGGCTTTTGCTGAGCTCCAGAACACTCTGGCAGCAACGCTCAGCAGCTTCCCCAGATTTCCCTACCGACCGCGGGCGGGCGCGCGCGCGCTGGTGCGCGCGCACAACACACACGCCCAGAGCCCGGCTCCCCAAGGCCCCGGGGAAAGGTGGGGGCTGCATGAGCACTATTCACGACCCAGTCCCAGGCCGACGCCGGAGCCGCTGGTCCGCAGGAGATCTCGCCGCGACCAGGAAAGGACTTGCCCTGGTCAACCGTTTACAAGGGAATCGGAAGGAAACCCTGAGCTCGGGACTGTTCGCCTGAGAAAAGAGCTGGCAGCGAGAGAAGACAGGAAAAATCGCAGATTGGCATTACCTCTACGGCTGCAGTAGCGGTTCGAGAAAGCCCAGACTTACCTCTTCTGAAGTGCCGAAGAAGAAGACAGGGTAGGGGAAATCCCTGGAAAGATCTTGCATTTCTTGGAGCGCTTGTTCGGATTGCAAACTATGACGTTTGGGGATTTTGCACAAGCGCGGGTGGACACACAACAAACACAAACACACCTAACCCGCAGGGGATTTTTTGCACTTTTTAATTTTTGTTGTTTAGAAGCCATTTTAGTGTGAGGCTCGGTCAAATAACTACATAAAGTCTGGATAAATGGAGAGGGCGAAGGAGAAGGGAAATTGGTATCGTTCATCCTCACAGTCAAGTTAGTAAGTCTTACAGGCTGTGAGGTATCTGAGAATGCGGGGTTAGAACCAAAGGAGTTATACTGCAGGGTTCCCAGGGTTCTTTAACCGGCTCTTTAACTGCTCAGGAGTACCGCGGGTCTTTTTGCAGAGCGGCTGTTGGGTGAGGGGTGGGAGAGCAAGGATACTGAGAAGAGCAGCCACTGTGACTATGCCCGGTTGAGCTTCCTGGGCTTGGCAAACGTTAGGAGCCACAGCTGCGTAGTTCTGCTGCCTTCAGGGATTCGAAAAAAGAACCACAGGCTGATATGCCTACTGTTTAAAACGCAGGTGTGACTGAGCTATCTGGTCTCTGAGATGAAGGCTAAGGACTCCAGGTGGTCAGCACATTAAAAAAAAAATCTAGGCCCAGATGAAGGAAATCCAGGATTCTTATGTAGAGAGCTTCCAGGCTTAGCAGAAAAGACAAGAGACCTCAAAATATTGAAAGAATCTGAAGTAGTGAGAATTAGCCCTTTTGGGAAGTATACTTGGGTCGGGGAGGTCCTCCGTGCCCTGAAAGTCCACTGCCCAAAAACGATTGTTGGAGGGACTGAAAAGAAAGCAGTTTGCCAAAGAGGAACATATTCCCTCCAAAGAGCTTTCGGAACCATGGACAATTACCTAAACATGTGAAGTTTATTTTATGTTAGTTACATCTCAAGATTATCCATCAAAATGGATCATTAGCTTTCTCAAATAGGGGGAGAGACTATAATCATAATTAATCAAATGGATGTATTTAATAAGCTGTGGCTGGACTAGGATTAGAGAAGCTCAACTTTAGTGCACTGTTGCTGTTCTATGTGAAATATTACTGTAAAATTACCCAGACTTTGAAAAATACTGACAGTTATAGGAGTTGTTCTTTAATTTGGAAATTGTCATTCAAAGAAGTAGCTCTAATGTTGTACCTGCATCTTTATCTGTTCTACAGGTTATAGACTATTATGTTAAAATATAACTATCCTGTTGGGAACATATGATAAGCTCCCCTAGCATTAGGTGGGGAGATCTTTCTTAAATGTAGTAAAAATTATCCAGTCGTTCCTGGAGAGAGGCAGATCTTGGGACAGAAATTAAAAAAAAAATGGAAGATGAGCTTTAGAGTGGAGCTGAAAAGGAATACTTCTTTTCACTGAGTTAGGATGAGAGGCAAAGGGCTCTGTACATTCAGGAACATGTTTAATGGTGATGGCTGGATCCTGGCACTGAGATGTGGGCTATGAGCTAAGCAGGGAGGAAGCTTTATAGTAAGGCAGAGCATACCCTGAGGAAAACCAATAAGACTGGCATATAATTCTGTAATCTGAAAGCAATCCTATCTAGTAACCAGTTAAAAATTAATCTCTGAATGCTCTTCCTTTCTCCTGTTTCTTCAAGTGACTTTTGATAAACACTGCAACATACTCTGGGGAAATTAGTGTGCCGACGCTTGGGCTACAATGATAAGGGGAATTGCAGCAGATCCAAAACCAGAGTAGAGGTGGTAGCAGAGGCAAACTCTTGGTGGTATGCCAAACTGCAGAGTGTGATGGAAAGTGACACAAAGGCATACCACTGGCAGAACAGAGAGATATGTGGAAGAAAGAGGCAGGTGAAGACCCTGGTTATGACATGGATTATGGATACAGATAGGTTATCCCTACAGGGACTCCTCAAGAGTTAGTAGTGGGGAGGGAAGAACCTCAAAAGGGGGACTAGGATTTTACTATCCAACATGCAGGCTGAGGCCATCAAGCAGTGCATTTGTTTCCTTGTTGCTACTGTGATAAATTATTAAAAATTTAGTGGCTTAAAACAGCACAAATTTTTTATCTTTCAGTTCTGGAGGTCAGAATTCTGAAATAAGTCTGAAGGGTTGCACTGTTTCTGGAGTCTCAAGGGGAGAATTCGTTTCTTTCCTTTTCCAGCTTCTAGAGTTTATCTACATTCCTTTGCTTATAGCTGCCTTTCAGCAATGGCTTTAATGCATCCTCTGCTTCCATCATCATATCCCCTTCTTTTACTCCCTAACTCCCTTTTTTCCTTTTAAGGATCTCTGTGATTATATTGGATCCCCTGTATAATCCAGGATAATCTCTCCATCTCAAAATCCTTAAATTAATTGCATGTGCAGAATCCCTTTTGCCATGTAAGGTAAGATATTCACAAATTCTAGAGATTAGGGTGTAGACATCTTTTTGAAATAGAACATATTTTTGAAATAGGATTTCTTTTCATCCATACTATAATTTGTAACCAACATGAGGAATTTTATTTGTTAAAGGAGACAGTGGATATTTTATTCCTATAAAATGCTATTCCTTATTTGTTATTTAAATTTTGACAGATGAATAATGACTAGGAACTAATACTAACTTTATGGCATTTTGGTCAATAATTTGGGCATCAGTTTGGAAATTAGTGACACCCATAATTACACTTGTCTTCTTTTCATTACAGTTATAATCTCTCTTTCAAGTATCCAGCCTTCTGAACTCGAGATTTTACAAGTGGAAGACTTATTTGCAATGAATAAATAGCAGGCACTCTGTAGATGATTTCTGAAAAATTGAATAGGTTTATTTGTTTATTTAAATAACTTCAATATTTCTTACATTTGCATCATGGATTTGATGGAACATTTCAAGTGCACTTTAATACAATTTCAGGCCTGACCTAATCCAGTTTCCTTAATTTTCAGGTAAGAATATTGGAGGTGTAAAGCTTAAATGATGTGTCCAAGTTCAAATATAGGCAGAGGCAGAGGCAGAGGCAGAGGCAGAGGCAGAGTTTGACTCCAGCATTCCTAATTATTTATTTTTAAACCTGTGTTGCTTCCTGAACTGATTCCTGGACACAAAGAACAAATAAAAAGGCTGGCTACTCCAGATTAGGAAGTGGCAGTTTTAATCAGCAAGGAAACTTATGTAAGAGGCTTGTCTTGGGTGGCTGCAAAATGAGTATATCTCCATACCTGCCCACCAGGATCTTACAAGTTTATATGGAGGGCTTAACTGGGGTTCAGTCACATTTTCAGCCCAGTTGATCTCAACAACACCTTACTCTCTCAAGACTGCATCCTTTAAAGGGCTCCCACTGTTAGAAAGGTGAGCAGAACATAACATTCCAAGGACAGGGAGGAGCCTTGATTGCCAAAGTCTTGCTGCCAGCTCAACTATTGGTCATGTCCTCTCAATTGCCTCTTCGAAGGACCTTCCATCCCCATCATTCTTTGTGCTGTTACCAAGTAATACATTGTGGCAGCTAAAATACAGAAATAAATATATTATCCACATTTATTCAGCTCTGGGGAAGATTCTTCACCCAAATTTTCTGCTTTTCATCCAAAACACTTTCAATTCCACTTCACTTTGTGTGTGTGTATGTTTGGTTTTGTGGTTTTACATTAAACACTTTCTAGTGAAGTTTTATACCAATAAGAATCCTCTCCTTTTCTCCTTAAGCCAGCTGCAGTAGCTGCTTCAAATAGCAATTATAGATCAATATAGAGGATTTTAGTTCCATGATGATTCTCAGGTTTAAAGAAAAGCTTTAATTAGTACAACAGTCTGCTACCATCTCAGCTTGTATAATTTTGGAGTTAGCATTAGGTTTAAAAATAATTGGCCAACATTTTTTTCACATTGCCTCCCTAATGATTAGCATTAAAATTATAAGTATTTAGCTTTTTATTTTGCTCTTGAAAAACATATTCTTGTTTACTACTCAGCATTTTCTACATGCTGGATTATAGAGTCATACATTCCATTTATTTATTAGGAGAATTTACAAATAATGAATGTGGCAAACAGACCTATCACAAATATGTGAAGGCCCAGGATAAGAGTAAATCTGATGGATCTTTCATCCTCAAGCCCGTGACCCTCTCCTTCTCTTGGCACTGTCTCAATTTGCCAGGGGCCTCAACTGGGGTCTTTCATGTTTATATGAGATGCTTCAAGCCTATGTTTCTTACACACACACTTACATCCTTGGTCATACTTTCAGTTCTAGGTATGCACTCACCAGCACTGAGGTCTACCCTTGAGGAAATAGAGCTGCCCCCTCCCTTCACCCAATAGTATTAAACATCAAATATTTGTGTGAAAAATATTGAATAGATGCAAAGCTTGAAGATGTTCAAGAGTGAGGAAGCTGTAACTGGAAGGCTCTAAAAGGAATTCTATTTTCAAATCAACAGAGTGTGAGACCCTACTGTAGGGGGTCTGCACATCTAGCATATTTTCTTCTCCTGCAATTGAGATGTTCAGATTTTTATCCAACTTCAGCAAGAATTTTTCTCCCTGATACCACTGTCTGGATTTAATAAAGCAAGAGTTAAGTTAACTGCAGTAGGAAACCCACAAAATTCTACTCTCTGATGGCTGCTAAACAGAGGACCAGAGAAAATTCTTTAAATCAAAAATAACTTCCTGCCAAGTAGCACAGGAGAGGTATGACAGACCTTAATTCTGTCAGAGAGTTAACAACTGTTGAGATAAAAGGGAGTTGTAAAACTGGAATTTTCATTACAGAAATATAAACATGCTATTGTCAGGTATTATAAAATATCAGGGATACTATAAATATAACAAACTTATAATCAAGTGATGGTTTTCAACTCACTAGTTCAAACACTTCCTCTTAATGAATTTTTAAAGACCCATATGAGCTGATATTACCTTATGATGAATTTCCCCTTTGGAGAGAGAAAGACATAAGCATTACTTGTGAAAATATATTTCATTTAAATCTCTGATAAGTTGGTATTTCTATAGGAAGATGAACTAAATGAATATGAATCAAATATTTAAATGATCAGCTATTAAAAAAAATTCTTTTCATTTCAAGTCACTAACTTCTCTCATAATTAACCAGGAATTTCTGGTGGCTGCTTCTCACTATCCTTCCTGTAAAACGTGAAATATATTGGCATCTTGCCATCTTCACTTCAGGTTTTTTGTTAGAAAAAAAATAATGGAACAAGACCTATTTTTTTTCCTCTTGTATAAGTAAATTTCAGAAGAAGATGGTAATTTTCGATGTGTTGCCATAATAATTTTTGAATTCTTGGATTTAGTTCAATCCGTAATTACTTGATCTAGTTTTTTTTCAACAATCATCTTTAACTAAAGAAAGAGTATAAAGAAAAATGTGAGTCCAATTCCCAGAGAGTCCCCATTTTCTTTCAATAGCTTCCTAAACATTTTTAAGAAAATTGATTTTAATATTCTTGAACTCTTAAGGAGGTGCAGGTTGATAGTGTCACAAGTCAAATTATGGAAAGCTTGGATAAGGTCCATTGGCATAAAGAAACTGGATCTATAATGATTCAGAGACTGACTTTTACCCAAACTGTTTGCCGCTGAATTCTGTCAAGGGATAGCCTCTTCTATCACTACCAACTGTCTACTTTAAATCACCAGGTACAGCCTTGAGTCAGGCTGGATATACTTTATTCCTGTGAAGAAGCAATGACCAAAATTAAAATGAAGGTAACTAGCCATAAAGGAACTTAAGAACCTCAGCCTAACCATTTTCCACTGAGGGGAGGACATTTCTGATTACTCTAGTGGAAACCCAAACTAGAAAA